GAAGCCCACCTGGGGGACAGTTTTGCCTGTTCCCGGCCTTACATCCGTGCAATCCATTTTGAGTTCATTTTTGTGCAAGGTGTGGGATGGCAATTTGCTTAAAATGAAGTTTCTAACAACTCATTTATTTCTATGCTTAGGATTAAACTCGAATCATCCCCTCACCTCCCCAGCCCCCACTGACCACAGGATTTGGTTTTGCACCCCTGTTCGAAGTAGATTCCAGTCCCTGCGGGTCAGGATGCTGGGTGCTGGCTGGTGTGTGCTGGCTGGGTCTGCCTGTTCATGCGTTGGGGGTCGCCCACCTGCAGACTCATTCACGCTGGAAATAACCATGCAGGGGGGCCGCTGACCCAGCAGCAACGAGCTACCTGCCAGGGAGGCAGTTCTGCAGTCTGCTTGGGTTTTGCGTGTTGTCTGACTTCAAAGAGCTTCTCTGTTTCTCGGCGAAGGTTAATGGGGGCCTCTGCTCCCAGCTCCCGCCGCCCGGGACAAGGCCTGCTCTCTGCTCCAGCTGAGTCTGCCTGCTCGGGTCGGGCGTCTCAGCTGGTGCTCGCTGCACCCCAGCCTGCAGCTAGCTGAGCCCTGCTCCCCCATGACAGCCTCCGAGCCCCAGGCCGGGCCTTCACCCCCGGGGATCGTCCGCCTTGCTCCGTGGCTGTGCCCTTTGTGAAAGTGTAGACCCTCCCTAGACAGGGCCCAGCCAAACTGACAGAAGCAGGAGCTGCGTCCTGGCTGCAGGCGTGGGTTAGATGAGCAGATAACGCAGCTTTCTGAGATTGCAGGAGGGTGCCCTCCCCCAGGAAACCCAAACCAAAGAAAAACAGGCGTGTCAGCTCCGAAGCAAAACCTCGGCACCTTACGTTGGCTCTTCCTGAGGGCTCAGCCCTTCTCAAGAAAATTTCTTTCCTACTTTCATTCCTGGTGTGAGCTGGCGTCTGGCGCAGCCTCTGCACAGCCCCGCCTCTGTCTCGCCTCCTGCCTCCACCCCTTTCCTCTCTCATTTCTTTCCTTTCAGTTTTGCAAGTCGTGTTTCGCCCCCAGGTGAATTCCCCTTCTTCCTCCTCCCTCCTTCCCTCCTGCCCTGTGTTGAGGTGCCTGGGAGTGAAGAGCTTCCTGGGAGCCTGGGAGGCGGCCGAGGCGTCACCTCGTGAGCCGCGTGGGGTGCTGCGGTTTTCTCCTTCCAACAACGTTTTGACACCCAGAACCACATCCTGAGGACAAGCAGCTGGTTTCCAGGGTGATGAGGCTGCGGCAAACGGCGTGCTTTACTTTGGGGGGGGGGGTGGCACAGGGCAGGGGTTTATTTCATATGTTTAGACTCCATTTCTCTGTCTCTTCAAGTGGCTGCCCACTACCACCACCACTCTCTACTCCTCTTCTTTTCAACGGAAATCAAGATTTCTGGGCAAATTGGTGACACAGAACGAGGTCACAGAAGATCCTCTCCCTGTGGGCCTTCCTGGCTGGGACGAGCTCGACACCTTGGCCTCTCTTTACACTCCACCTTGTAGCTCAGAATTTCTCGCTGGCAGCAGTAAAGTACTTGCTTAACAAGGTGGTAATAGCCACTGAACAGATTGGTGTGTTGGCACCTGGCACTATCTTAATGTTGTGAGCGATCTCTGTAGTCTGTTTGCTAGATCTCTGCCTTCACCCGGCCTCCTGATCCCTCATTCACTTCAAAAACCACCGGTAG